TGAGCAAGTTACTTAGCCGTGCAGTTTTGTCATCTGGAAAGTGGAGATAACAGTACCTCTCTTGCAGGGTTGTTGTGTGGAATTAAATGAAATACTGTCCCTCAAATGTCTCTGTAGCATAATGCCGAACAGGTGGTGGGTGCTCAGTTAGTAGCAGGTGGTGTTAGTTATCTACCTTCTGAGGCTCTATTGCTGTTGCCAGCACGTTGCCCACTGCCTGATCCCAGTGGTGGTGGTCCTAGGACTGCATGGAGGATTCTACAGAAACTGAGCTAGAAGGGGCATTTCTTAGTTGTCCAGGAAGGCAGGGACATATCTGGGCTTAATTGGATTTAGGGCAAATGCAAATTGAAAAATAGCAATCTTTGGCCTGGGTTACAGCCAACGAGTGTATTATTTTGGATTACAAAATAAAATTTAGAAAAAGCAAAAGAAGTTGATGTGTGTGGGTAATTATGCCTGGGTGGGATGATTTTTACCATGCAAAAGGACTTTCTCATTTACGAAAAGATTCACAGCTGGATGCCTTTAAGTAACCAGTACCCTTTAGGCTTTTACTCTAGAGTAACTTTTTCTGGCATGGTTCACACCAGTCTTCCAGGACAGTGCTTTCTGCCTACCCCATTGTGTAGCTGGCCCTGGCTTTCTTTCAAAGTTTCCTTGAGCCACTGCAAAAGAATACTGGACTGAAAGCAGCATAGCTGCCATATTCATTGACAGACTAAGATGCACCTTGATTTTATACACCGCCAAGAAAAAAAGCGTATCTATTGAAATCGTACGATTTTGTTTATTGTAAAACAAATCTTCATTTCAGGAATGTTACAATGTGAAAAAAACTATATGGCAGAATGAGAACAAATAAATGGAAGTTCATCTCCAAATTATACTTGGCTTAATATTATTTTTATCTTTATTAAACAAGCCACTGGGACCAGCAGTTAGCATAATGGCTATGTCTCTGGACTCCCATGTGTCAACTGCAGTTTGAGTCCCGGACCCGGTGGCTTAAACTACGCTGGGTGTGTATGTGTGCATGCCCAAGATCCTGCGAGGAGAATGGAGAAGAAGGGATTGCGGCATGGCCATCCCCCCAGGAGGTGATTTCTCACTTTCTGTCTCTGTCTCTCTCTGTCTTTCTGGCGAGTGCATGCGCCCTATAGCACAGACCTCTCCAAAAAAAAAAAAAAAAAAGAGAAACCACTGCTCTGCAGGCTCTGTGATAGCAGAGTCTGTTTTGTTTACTATTTTATTTCAGTCACTTCCCTCATAGTAGGTATTCAACAAATATTTACTGAATGAACAAATAAAACAACGTCACATTATAAAAGATGGGGAAAGCCCAGAAAAAAAAACAAGTCAATCATTCATAATTTTCCCCTATGGGTAATTTGGCTTATTTCCTTCAAGTTTTATTTCCCATGAATATGCTCTTTTATATACATGTAAACATAATGTATTATTAGATTTAGCTCTGGGATATGTTTTTGTATTTGTCTATTAATATGAATGAAATGATGAAATGAGATGATGCGGAAATGCTTTGAAGACTGTAAAATGTTTAACAAATTTCTTATTATTAGTTATAATAATCATAGAAACACTGCTATGAATGAGGCTGATTTCCTGAGAATGTATTTCAAAGCAAACAACAAATTTGCCCTCTGAATCTGAGAATATGTTGTTTTCTCATTCCACTCGCTACAGGGAGTCCCTCTGTTTCATACTGGGAAGAGAAAGAGACATTTAAGGCTTAAGAGTCATCAACTCCAACTTCCCACCCAGCTCAGAAATTTCTTCTGTATTACTAATTGGGGTTAAGCAGGAAGGAATACGCACATTTCTCAGGCCGATGAAACATAGCAGCCTACAGAGAACTTCCTCCTCTCCAGCCTCTACTAGCTGTGGGAAGAAAGTACTCTTGGGGTTTCCAAGAATGTTGTTCATTTACTCTGCACGCCAATAGCAATGTAGATACCAGAGAATGTCAATGGAGTGGGGTGATAGGTACATTCAACGAAGCTCAAAGTCAGGTTTGCCTTGGGCGATTAGTCAAAAACTTATCATAAGGTAGTCCAAGAATTCACCTGAGTATTTATTAGTCTACCCTGTGCCTGGTTCTTGGAAGGCACATGGCTTATGCACATAAGGGAAGGGAGTACTGACCAACTTTCTCCTTGTCAAGACTCTAGCCAGATGCCTCTGAGCTCTGTTCTTGACTAGGCCTCAACCATGACCTCCGAAGAGTTGAACAACTACTACACAGTTTCAATGGCTCCAGGCTGCATCCCTGGAATGACTCTAGCTTTCCTTTAAGTGCCCACCTGAAAAAACACAAGCTCACTGGAAGAATTTACTGCTTGCTGCAGCCAACACCTGAGGATAAGGTCCCTGTCTCCTGGTCCCTGTGGAGGAGCCCAACTTCGATATGCTCTAGTTAGCAAACCCAGATAGGTTTCACGTGGACCAACTCCTGTCTGTCTTCATATTTACTTATTTATTTATTTTCTTTTGGTAATTTTTCACTTCCCCTACTCTGCTCAAACCCATCCCAGACAGACAAACATTCCTAATAGAGTCTCACACCTTCCTCCACTCCTGTCCCTCAACCTTCCCAGCTAGGCAGCACCATGGGTAAGCACACATGGGGTGTACAGTGACCAGGGAACAAAACATGTGATCTTCCATATAGATTGAGCATTACTGAGCAGTGGGCTGTCACTGCACCACCAAGCTAGCACCTTCATTTTTCCTTTTTTTTTTTTTTTTAGGTTTTTGCCATGGGGCATGTATACTCTCTGGAGAAAGATAGATAGAGGGAAAATGAGAAATCACCCCCTGGGGGGGGATGGCCACACTGCAGTCTCTTCTCCACCATTCTCCTCCTGGGATTTTGGGCATGCATCCACATGTGTGCAATGTGATTTTCAAGCTGCCCGGTCCACGATTCAAACCGTGCTCTGCTATGTGGGAATCCAGTGCTGTAACCACCATGTTACCTGCTGGCCCCCGTTTTCCCTTTAAAACACCTGGTCCCCTCAGTATTAAAATCAAAGTTAAGTTTAGTATGTGCTGGACCCTCTTCCCTATTGCGATAGTACTGGGTTGTTGGAAAAGTCACAATACGTGTTGCATAAAAATAAAAAAAAAAAAACAGAAAAATATGTCATGACTTTTCCAACAACTCATATTACTGGTAAAAAAAAAAAATTTGTCCTGACCACTTCAATTAGTGTCCAGCTTTGGGTATCTATCTAATCTAAATTAATAGCTCAGGTTCCAGACTCATGTAGGCTGTCTGCATGCTTTGGTAATCTACGCTCTCACTCTTCCTTACTCTCAAATCTTTACCCTGAACTTGGCTCCCAGCTATATGGCTCCTTCCCTCCTTTTTGTCCTCAAGGCTGTACTCTTCTTGTTACACCATTTGGTTCCCACCTTGCAATCCTTTGGTCACCCCCATTTCAGCTGGTACCACTTGTCCAACCTCTGGGGCCCATGGAGGCCTGGCTAACTTCCTAGTACTCCCTGCTCCTCTCCTGAAGATGCCATCCCATCCTCTCCCTACGTGCTGCAGTGCAGGCTGACTTAGCCTTTACCAGCTGCCCAGGCCTTGTGTTCAGGGCATAGTTGGTGAGGCTTACATCATCAACACTTTCCTAGAGATTCAAAAATACAACTTGCTTGCAGATTTATAACTTTTTTTTTTTTTTTTGAGAGAGATTTTTGCCACAGGGCACATGCACTCTCTGGAGAGACAGAGAGAGACAGAGAGATGGAAGAAATCACCCCCCAGGGGGGATGGCCATGCTGCAATCCGTTCTCCTCCATTCTCCTCTTGGGATTTTGGGCATGCATGCACATGTGCCTGATGTGAGATTTAAGCCACTGGGTTTGGGACTCGAACCAGGTTGACTACGTGGGAATCCAACGACGTAACCATTATGCCATCTGCTGGTCCCTCTAACCAGTTTTTAATACTGAATATTGTTTTATAAATGGCTAAACAGCTTTGAACAGTCCTAGTGAAAGGTAATATTTGAGCCACATTTTAAAACCAAGCTGAGCTCGTAAGTAACATGTGTCTATCTTTCCTTCTCCTTTCTCAGACCCCAGAGCTGAAGGCTCTCACCACACATTTCACTCGCCTGAAGCCTCCCACATTGTTTCAGCTCATCTGGTTTAGGACTCCCTCGGAGTCATAACGTCTCTGGCTTTTATTCTAGGCAAACCGGAAGATGAATATCCAGAATATAATGGGGAGAAAAACAATAACAACAATAAAACAACCAACCAATAACCAAGACGGTCCCAGTCTCTTTACAGTCCTGCTTTGAGACTTCCTCCAGTGGGAAGTTTGCGAAGGTCCCCCTGCTGAGATGTAAAACCCACTTCAGACATGAGACCATGCTAGTCCTCTCTCCACTGACTCTAGGCAGCAGCCCTGGCTGGCTGGGTGGGGTGTTGTCCCCCGTGCTACACCGAAGGTAGGTGCTCATGGACGAGGGTTCATTTCACTTTGACTCTATGAGGGAAGCCTGACACCACTATCCTTTTTCTATCATAGGCTGCTTTGAGTTGTATTAACACAGTGATGAAACGTTATCAAACCCTAGTTAGCAATTGCCCTTACTTAGTAATCTCTGTTCCCCAGCCCCGCCAGAATTTATTTTTTTAAATTCAACTTGCTTAGAAAATCTACTGTGATAGAATGTTCTGGGAGAAAACCCCACTCATTTCAGTGAAAAGGAAAATCAGCTCTGTTTCCCTCATACCCAACTTTAGGAACCAGCAGGTGGTACCAGAGAACTGGTGAAGGAGGTTAACCAACATCTTCTCCAATTTCAAGGTAGAGCCCCTTACCCAGATTAGCCCCATTCCAGCCTCTTGGGTAGAGTGAGAGCTTGCCAGGAGTGGGAATCCCATTTCTCCTCCTGGTGTCTCTCCACATGGTCAGGGCAGACTGATGACCACTGATCTGGGGAACCCAGGGGACTTACCCTTTGCTCCTGTGTGGCCACGAAGGTCTGGAACCCCGGAGCCACCCCAAAGCCCAGCTCTTGGATGAAAGGCGGCTCAGACTGACTGTGGATCTGAACTTTCACTCCTGCTTCAAATGTCGTTTCCTCTGAAAGAACAAAGATGGACAGAGCCATGGGTCAGTGACAACAGATGCTCACAGAGTCCTGGGACCAAAAAGCTCAAAGGGACGCTAAAAAGACCATGTGGTTGGCAGAATAATAGTCCCCAAAGATGTCCAGTGCTCATGTCTGGAAACTATGAATGTGTTACCTTGCATGACAAAAAGGATCCTGCAGTTGTGATTAAGTTAAAGATCTTGAGGTGGAGAGACCCTCTTGTGTTTTGGTTTTGGGCCCAGTATAACCACAGAGGCCCCTATAAGAGAGGAGTAGGCAGGCCCGAGTCAGAGCAGAATGGAGAACACCACATTGCTGGCTGAGAAGATGGACGAAGGCTCCAGGAGCCGAGGGAAGCAGACAGCTGCTAAAAGCTGGAAAAGGCAGGGAGATGAGTTTCCTCCTAGAGCCTCTGAGAGGAGCATAGCTCAACCACTCTGATTTTACTGAGCCCATGAAACCCACTTGTAACTTCTGACTTCCAGATTTTTTTTTTTTTTGTTGTTGTTGTTGTTGAGATTTTTTTGCTGTAGGGTGCATGCATTCGCTGGAGAGACAGAGAGAGACAGATAGAAAGGGAAATCACCCCTGGGAGGATGGTCATGCCACAATCCCTTCTCAATTCTCTCAGGATCTTGAGCACACATGCACATATGCCCAGTGTGAGTTTTAAGCCACTGGGTCCAGGACTCGAACTGTGGTCGACCACCTGGGAATCTAGTGACATAACCATTATGCCATCTGCTGGTTTGCAGAATTTTAAGATCATTTATTTGTGTTGTTTCAGTCATGAAGTTCGTAGTACTTGGTTATAGCAGCAATGTGAAACTAATTCAGGTCAATTAGGCCAACTCTTTGCCTCAGTTGCCAAATCTACAGAATGGGATTATGAAGTGAGTCAAACTCCTTTTTTTTTGGGGGGGGGCATGTCTTTCCTTTTCTTTCTCTTTCTTTCTTCTTCTTCTCTTTCTTCCCCCTACCCCCCACAGAGGGCATGTACATTTGCCAGATAGTGACAGAGAGACAGAGAGAGGGCGAAGAAGAAAACAACCCACCATGGGGAATGGTCAAGCTGCAATCCTCTCTCCTCTGCCTGTCCCTCCTCAAATTTTGGGCACACAGATGTGTCTGGCATGTTTCTCAAACTGCCAGGTCCAGGACTCAAACTGAGTGGTTAGGCATGTGGGATCCTGCTGCCTTACTGCCAGACCATGGAACCTGCCCCTTTGTTTCATTTACTGACTTCTCTTCTGGGCCACGGGCTGAAGGTGAGGATATCAGGAGGAGAAAAGCAGGATGATGCAGCAGAGGAAATGAAAATGTAGTGCTTGCTCATTTGCAGAGGTGTCCACTCTTTGGATCCACACGAGATGGATAACTAGAAGAGAGGCTTTGTCCCTTTTTCCCTTTGGCAGGAGAAATGGCCCTGGCAGCAGGAGGTTGCAGGGGTGGCAGCGCCTGGCTCACTTCCTATGTGAGTGCTGACAATTGATGGAGAATGCACTTACAGGACTGTATTAACCTGTACCAAATCTCCCTCTCTGTCTTACTCTCTCACCTTTGGAAGAATGAGCCTTCCAAAGTGCAAAGCTGTATAACTCTCTCCCTTGTTTGTAAAGAGTCCAGGTCCTTAACCCACCCCCGCTCCAGCCTTGCTCTGGGCAGCCCTCTGCTTTGCACAACTGTGGTCTGGCGCTCCAGGGCTGCCTGGGTTGTCTGTTACGCACTCCGTTCTGCGGAAATGCACATGCACTGCCCTTTGTCTGGAATGTCTTTCTGCCTTGTCCACCTAATCATCTTTCTCCCTACTTGTCACTGAAGACTCAGCCCCCAGTTCCACCGGAAGTGACTCCTCTTGCTCTGCTGTATCTTCACCTCTCTGCTAGAGCTCTGCCACACCACAATTTGAACCTTTATTGGGTCCTTTATCCTTTTCTGACAAGGCACATGATGATCCTTTATCCTCTGTCTCCTACACCAGGCTGGAGCACCCTGAGGCCAAATTCAAGCTGTGTCGGGATCTCTAAGGTCCCCTGACAGCAGGCACTCAGGAACACCTACTGAACGTGGGAGATCTGTGAATTGAGCCTCACTCTGCAAACAGGCAAGGCCAATCTGGAGCCAAATCAAGGAAAGTCCTAAAAAGAAAAGAATTAGAAGAGGATAAATGCAAAAATGAGAGGAGATGGAGTGGAGGAAAGAAACAAGTGTCGCTGGGTCAGGGACAAGGGGGCACAGGTCAACATTGGGCTATGCCTTGTGGAGAGTTCAAGGATGAACTAGGCTGGCACAGAGAGGAAGGTTGGGAAGGAAGGACTGGGGTCATGACCCATGGAAAGTGTGGGGCTGCAGGGGGGAACAGGGGTGGAGCTGGGGTGAGAATTCCAAGGTCACAGAGTCCATGGGGAGAAAAGTCCAGCAGGCAGACAGGACCTGAGGGAAGGACAAGCAGGGCTTTCATAATCCAGAGGAGTCACCCAGTGACTGGCATGGGGTTTTAAGAAAACAGAACCTTGGCTTGAAATTCTTCTACATATGGCTTCATGGAGCAGGAGCGAATTCTGGGCAACACCCCTACCCTCCAGCAGAGTCTATCATTCTGTGATTTCTTTACCTGGGTCACTCTTTCTAAACTGTGGGCACATCCCTGTATGCCTGTGGTTTGTGTTAATTTCTCCCAGATACGGTGAATTCCTCGAGAAGAGACTGCGTCTAATTCATTCCAGTGTCCCCTGGCCTAGACCAGGACCTGGCCCACAGGTGGGTCCTCTAGGAAAGGCTCTCAGATCAGGGAAGAGGACTTCAGAAGGGAGGATTAACTAATGGTTAACTTTCAGCAGGTATGTTCTTTAAAGTCTGCCCAAGAAAGACTGAGGAGAGGGCAACAGACCTGAAGAACAGGCTTCAATTGGAAAAGGTATGAGCGTGACACGATGTTGGGATTACAGAGATGCCCATGCTGGGCTGAACTGAGAGCACATTCAGCGAGCCACGGGAGGGGACAGGAGCAATGCCAAAACTTGTTTTCCAGAGCTAGTTGAAGCTGTGTGCCTGATCTATGACTGAGCTTAAGAAACCCTATAGTCAGTATGACAAAAGAGTGGACCTGTGGCTTACAGGGGAAATGAGAAATGAAGCCTTTCTACTGGAGACCAGTGAGTAATGGGAAAACACAGGCCTAGTGTGCCTCAGTTAAAGATCTGGCCAAGGCGGATCAGATTGGGTGAGGGGCCAGAGAGGCACTAGTTTTCTCTAGAAATAGCAGTAGCTGTGGTAGGGAGTACTCTGAGAATAACTGTGCAGCAACTAGTGGACGTGAGTGGGAGAGGGTGGTGGGTAAGGTTTCTGCCGTCTCTAGAACAGCGCCGTCCAGTGGAACTTGCTGCAAAGACGGAAACGTTCTCTAACCTATGCTGTCCCATACGGTAGCCACTAGCCATGAAGTGTGGCTGGGGTGACTAAAGTACCGAATTTTTAAATTGTGTTTCATTTAATGAATTTAATGTACAATAGCCACATGAGGCTAGAGTCGCCCTGACTGAAAAGCACAGCCCTAGAACATCCAGCTGTGAGCGGCCCCCAGCCCTCTCAGAGCTGTGGGGATGATGGGGATTCTACCACCCTGCCTGCCTAAGTGGGTGGTCTGTGGGTCCCAGATACTCCCCCATCATGTTTCCCCAAACATGTATTCCCCCCTCTCCCACAGAACTTGATTCGATTCCTTACTAGAACTTCCCATGGCCTCCCTCTGTGGATTTTTCTCCAGGCTGGAGGCCGGCAGTGACTAGCAGCCCCTCCAGCCCCTGCCCTCATCCCCACCCACAACTCTTGGACATAACACATTGTGGGGTATGAAGACCCAACTTGAGGACTGAAGTTTTCAAATAGATTGTTAGACTTGTTGGTGACCTCAGAATGCACACTCACTAGAGAGAGCTTGGGTGACAATCTCAGGGCCCATCCCAGGAGATTCTGATTTGATCACTCTGGATAGAGCCCAGGAATCTGCATTTCCAGGGAGCCTGGTATAGGGCATACGAGGCCAATTACATTTGGGCAAACAGCAATCAAGTTCAGAGAGGGGAAGCGGCTTGCCTAATGTCACACAGCAAGTTAAGAGCAGAGCAGGGACTAGGAGCAAGGTCTCCTGATTTCTAATGCGGCACTCTTTCTACCCTAAGTGTAGTTTATTTAGTGTGAGCAGATAGCCAGGTTCACAGCTCTGGGGTTCTGAATGGGGAATGAGGAAAGGGAATATCTTTTTCATTGTCATATCCCTGATGCCCTCAGCACACAGTGGTTGCCACAGAGCAGAGCTCAATAAATAGCTATTGAATGAAGCAAATGAATGAGGACGTTTCCTTGGCTTGCTCTGCTGTTTCTTGCCCTCTGACCTGCTGTGAGTCTGCCTGGGTTCTGGCTGGACACTGGGAAACTAGCACTCCTTGCTGCTCGGCAACAGGCTTCCTTCCTCATCGCAGGGCTTGTGGGGGTGGCTCTCATCTGCTGGGATGCAGCTGGGGCTGCACATGCGATAACAGCAAAAGCAGCAACAATAACCATAACAATAGCGGAGACTGCTTACCTAATTTGTGGCTCCCAGTGCAAAACAAAAATGTGGGGCCCCTCGTTAAACAATTATTGTTGATGAACTGCTTAAAATTCATAAAAATAAATATTATTATTAAAAAATAAAGGTATTTCAAGACAATGAGTATGGATCATTAAACAAGCATGGGGCCCTTTGGAGCATGTGACCTTGTTTGCATAAGCTGCATACCCACGAAGACAGCCCCGATAATAATTCAAATGGGTGCTGGACAGAATTAGGTACATTTTCATATTCCTCTCATCACCAAATGATTCAACACTGGCTCCTTCAAAGTGCAGGTCTCTCAGGCAATGAAGGATTTGTTTACACATCACAAACAACAGGATTCAAAGCCCCAGAGAGAGAAAGAGAGAAGGGGAGAGCTACTTCTTACACAGT